CTTATATCCAGGGACAGAAATGGAAGGCCACTGCCAAACATGTCAGTGATATTCAGGCTTTATCGGTGCCTCTGTCTTGTATGCGATTCAGTTCTGATAATCTCAGAGTGACCCTGCACCCCATTTCGGCTTTTATTCCAAAACTGGCTGACGCCTGTACCTAAGTGGATGTGGACACTTTTCAGCCTCCTTCCCACACTTCTGCTGAGCAACAGCGTTCACACAGGTTGTGCCCTGTCCGAGCAGCGCATGGCATCCTTTACCAACACCGTAATGCTACACAACACAGTAAACACAAGGCCCTGGGAAACCTGAACATTTTCCTTAAACACCATCATGTAAGTACTGTAATGCACTGTCTTTACACACAACTCATTTTAAGTGCATTCATGGTGGACAACAAAATGTATTCTATTTAATTGTCTTCTGGTCTGTTGTCTTCTTAGATTCAGGAGTAGGACCACGCCTCAACCTCCCCCTGCTCCTCTCCAGCGAACCAAGCTCAGCTCAACCACACCTTCAATTACCCAAAAGCCCTATTTATACAGGCCTGTCCCAATAACATCATCTGTCTCTGCTCTATCAACCCCCTCCCACCCCGTACCCCATCGTCAATAAATATCTTTATTGTATTCCATTGTTGTAGCATGGTCCTTGCTAGTGAAATACTTCTGTATCTCTGAACTAAAGGTAACAGGTAGCTATTAACATGAAAACTGTAACTTCGTGATGTTACAAGGTGGAACAGAGCAGTTTGAGCTTTGGATAAGGGATTACTCAAATCAATTTTGCACAATATTTTTTCAATTTATTTATTCATCTTGTTATAATTTGTGTTCATTTATTTTCTTCTATTAATTGCAATTGGCCAGGTGTATGAACTAGTAAGTAACTAATTTGGATGTAAAATTGTATATTATTTGAGGTATAAAGCAATGATTGGCCTAATTTAAACTATTCAAAAAGCATACTCTTATTACATTAGAACAAAATATAGGCTAACAGGTATGTAGGTCAACAATACTCAAATCACAACTGTCATTCTGGATCCAAATCTTTTTAATAGTTTTTGCAGATAAAGATGATAAAACCGTTTTTCCTCTGGTACTCAAAATGTCTCTTCTTGTAGTATGAGAACATTTTTACATGAATGAAATCCTGCTTTGTGGATGTTCTCGATCTGATGTAATATTCAGAATGGAGAGGAGCTGCACGTTTTTGGCTGTGAGGACGCAGACTCAAGGCAATCACATGTGTGCTCTGAGTTGAAGAACAAGTACAGGCCTCACGCTGGTTTTCAAACACAGGCCTAGGAGTTTATTTTCGGATTAATATGAGACAAATGAGAAGGAAACCAGCAGTTTGTTTCATTATTTCATTGGTGTAGGAATAGAGTACAGAATTCCATCAGAGAAAGTTGAATGGAAGAGTGCTCATATTCCTAAAAAAAGTTTTTGTTTATTTTGGATTTGGGCAGCTGGAACATACTCTAGGGCAGTGGAGTTGATAGGTTGAAAAATATTCAATCTGATGCACTTTACAGATTATTTTTTAGTACAATTCAGGCCTTATATAAATGATTTAACTACACATTTTTACACTTGCACATCTAATAAGTGAATAAATGTTTTCAGAGTTTTATCAAATTTTATCAACTTTTACATAGGCAAGATCAGACAGAGCTTTGCAGAGTGCAAGTGCACCAAATTAAAGCAAAGATTGCAATTTTAGAATAGTCAACGAAGTAGTTATTTAACTTTTTTATACCTTTGCTACATAATCCATGAGTTCCATATATGTTAGTTCTGTGAGTGTAGATCAGTGTATTGTGTATCACCAGAAAAAGAAGAAATGGAAATTATTTTCATTCCAATTAGAATTTTAACAGCATACACTGAAAGAGAAAGGAACTGTTATAATTAGTGATGATCTCGAAAACTATTAATATTTTATTATACAAATGCATAGAATTATAAATAGATAATAATTTTTCGGAGATTTTGAGACCACTCCCGTTTTCGGAGTTATGACCAAAAACGCATATTTGACCATGGTTACCTTGACCTTCAAGTGACCTTGACCACTTTCAACCTGTAACATCCAGTGTACCCCGGTAATGTGTGTGCCAACTTGTGTGATGGTTGGGTGAATATTTTAGCCCATATTGCCAAAATTGCCTATCCTTTATAATGGTGTGACCTTTCAATTGACCTGTGTGACCGCAAATGACCTCAGATCGTCACCAACCTTTGCGGCATCGGGCATGGGGGCTTGACCTATGTACTAAATTTGGTGATAATCGGTCCATAAATGACAGAATTATCGCGGGTGGACAGACACACACAGACACAGACACACAGAGTGAATACAAAACCTGGTCAACCCTTCGGGGATTTAATGAGATGGCGTGCCCAAACTTTTGACAGGTAGAGTATAAAATATTAAAATTGCCTATAATGTTGCGTTGCAAAATCTGCTAAATTTAAACCAACTACTATGTTGCCACATTTTATCATGTGCGTAAAATTTCAAAAAAACACAATTTCATGTAAAACCAACCACTCCAAGATATTCTATTTGAGCTATCTGGTGTAGTGTCCACAATACCACCACAAGAGGGCAGAATTGGGCAACACATGACAAACGTGTGGACAATGCCATGGCACGAAGAGTTATCACATAGTCTAGTTGGGGGAAAAAGTTGTGACCACATGTGCAGTACGTCTAAAACATAAAGAAATCAATTAGGGACATTTAAAACTCGTTCCAGGTAACTTTTTCCCACGTGAATTTTGCGTCCTGGCACCACAAGCCCCGCCTCGTTAAACACAAAACCCAGAGGTTCCCAGAGCTCCACTCATGTCCCGCCCACCTTCCTTGACCATTGGCTCAGCTTGAAAACCTTAGGGAGCATCCTCTGACCTCTGATTGGACGAGAGGAATTGCAATCGAGGGAGCAACACGGAAAAAGATTGGAAAAAAGTTATGGAGCGAAGCCTAATCGGATCACGGCTCTTGCATGCTCCTGAGTAATTTGGAGTTGAAAATCCCCATAGCGATTTTTAGCGGCGAGGTGAACACTGCAGTCTGCGCAAGGAGAGGGACTCCGAAGCGTTGCGTAATTGGAGCGGGTTATGTTTTCCCGTTTCCAAGGGTTGACTGACTTGCTGATGTCACTGAGAAGGAGGAGGAAAGAGAGGACAGGTGCCTAAAGTTACCTCGGTAGTAGCGTTGGAGGTACTGCGAGCTGTCATCCGTATTGGAACTAGCCAACAGCTGATCGCGCAAAAGTTTCAACGCGGGCTTTTCGCGCTCTTTTCCTCCTAACTTGTTTTACCAAGGGGTCGTGCGCCTCGACGCAGCGCCAGAGTGAAGCAAGACGCTGCTACTGTTTGTTTACGCACATTACTTTGAACTGGACCGTGGGATACAGACGGTCTAAACATCAGTGGAGACATTTTGGGGTTTCAATGCGGCACTTACGCACGGACACGCATCCCAAGCACTGACCGGAGATGCTCTGAAGACTGGGAACAATATTGATTAGGATTAACGCATTTTGGAGTTATGATTTTATGGTGAGACTACTGGATTACATAGGAGAACTACTTTTACGCGCTAAACCATGTCCAAAACGCTAAAGAAAAAGAAACACTGGTCTACTAAGATCCAGGAATGCACCGTGTCTTGGGGAGGATCGGGGGAGCTCATGACCGTGGTGGAGGTGCGAGGAGGCGCAGAGCTCGGCCAGTTCCCCTACGTCGGACATGTAGCGGCCGAGGCGATGGTTTGTCACGCCGGTCGGTTCCCCAGCCCCGGGGACGTGCTCCTGGAGGTGAACGGTACTCCGGTGAGCGGGCTGACCAATCGGGACACGCTGGCTGTGGTGCGGCACTTCAGGGAGCCCATACGACTCAAGACCGTGAAACCAGGTGTGAACAAAACACAAGACATGTCACATCACCTAATGCGCCCGTAGTAATACTTGAATGATCTGGTTCGGTCCTGGTGACGCACAGTTTAGACATGGTTTAAACCTGGATCACAGCTTTAACCAATTTAACTTTACTGCTGGTTTGAAAGCTACATTTTGGCCCAGTCTTTGTTTAGTTTATTTTTTCGTTTAATCCTTTTTTGGTGCACTGCTCTTTCACTTTATTTTTCTTTATTTAGCCTAGCCTAATTTAATTTAATTATAATTGTGCTTTGATATAGGAATGTTGGTCTATTAAAGGGCAGACAGAAATTGACAGAAGAAAAAACTAATAATGTACTAAGACATAACTCATTCCTCAACATGAAGGATGACTTCTTACTCCATGTATAACTATGTAGTTGAGCTCTTTTTTAGTCCCAGTATTATCCTAATAGAGTGCAGTGTAGTCCTTATTTAGTCCTAGTTAACTCCTACTTTAATTTATCATGTCCTGGTTTAGTCCCTGTATACACCTGTTAACCATGGGTTTCGACTGTTATATGCAATATTTTGAGGAGTTTTTCCTTTCAAAACATATAATATTTAGTTTTAAATTGTTTAATTGCAATGGCAGTCCTAATCATTTATCTTCCTGAACCTGATGGATCGACATGTTGGTACAGACTTGGCTCAGACCTGGTTTATTCCTGTTTCAGACTTGGTTTCTCCATCACTTTTCCAACCCCATCATGCCACAACATATGCATGAGCTGGACTGGCAGAGTAACTTGAAGAGCCTGTCTCCTAGAACAGGTGTTACTTGTATCATGAATAAGTTAGAAGGGAGTCTAGCAGCAGCAGCCTGTCTGGTCAGCTCCTCTTTCTCCTCAGGGCCACAGAGATGCAGATGTCATGTTGGATGCTGCTTTCATTTTCATTTGTTGTTTTACTTGCGAACTTGGCACTAGACCTTTTTGAAGTGACGTTTTGAATCACAATAAACAATAATACTAAAGCAGGTTAATCCCAGTAAACCTTGTTATTAAGAGTGAGTTCACAGTTGCCCTCATTTGGTCCCACTTTGAGTCCTAGTTTAGAATTTTAGAATGTGGTCACTGTACAGATAGGAAAGCACCCAAAATGTGTAATATTGTTAATAAAAAAAAAACCTGAGCTGCAGTGAAGCAATAGCTGAATAAAGCACATTAGCAGCAAAAAGGCATACACAATACATACTGACCCTGAAAAATACTATGATTATGATAATTTTTTGAAAGATAAATTGATATAGTTGTTATTGTGGAAGACGTTTGCAGTGTTCTATTTTATTCCACTTGAAGTCTTTTGAAGCACCGTTTTTCAGCATGCTTCATCTTAATAAGGTTGTGTCAACATTTATCCTGATTCAGAGGCGGCACTACCATAAGGCAAAAGTAGGCGTTTACCTAGGGCCCCCAAATCTGGAGGGGCCCCCAACCAATTGCTCTCAGTGCCACTAATGGCCGAGGCCTCAGAGCAGTTTGATTTTTCTCTCAACATGACATTAAATGAGATTAGTTTACTTCAACAATCATAAACAAAAACTTAATTGTACTACCAAAAAAATAAAACTACTTTCAGTTTTGGTTATCTAGTAGGCTTCCTAACTAATAAGATAAGTTTCCATTCCAGCATAATTCAAATAAAAAGAGATGTGCGTGTCTCAAGAACAATGAGGAAACACGAACAATAAATATATTAAGAAAAACAAACCAAAACATAAAACCAGTGCATTATAGTGAGGGCCATTATAATTCGCTTAGGGCCCCCAAATTGCTAACTCCACCACTGTCCTGATTTAGTCCTGGTTTGAGCCTCATTTAGTTCTGATGTCAACTTGGTTCTACTCCAGGTTTAGTCCAGATTTATTCCAGGTTTAGTTTTGGGTTGAGTCCAAGTTCATTCTCAGAGATGATGTAGTGATTGTGCAAGTATGAATCCACCCTAATATGTTCTGCCTTAAGACTTCATAATTCATTTACTCTCTTTGAACAATTTCAGACCAGTTTAAAATCTTAATCTAGTGGGATTTTAGCTGTAGCAGTTTTGATTTTGCATGTCTTTAAAATGCCACAAGATACAACACACACTCCAAACACATTGATTCTAATGTAGTTTCTTTCAAGCCAGCGCATAACTAAAAGCTTATTGATCACATTTGCCTTGGATGTGTGTTGCCTCTTATTCACTCTCTATGGAGCACATCTAATCAACAGCATGTGTCAAAACTCATTGACATTCAAAGCTCTTGGCCTGATGTACAGATAGGAGCGGTGCATGCATGTGGAGGTTTGACTGAGCTGGAGTTGATAGAGCCAGTGCTGAGCTGGGCACTTTGCTCACACTTAGCTGGGATTTGTTAATGTTGGCTCCACGGCTTATAGGCACCACTGCTCAAAGGGAAGCCAAGTCTAATGTAATCGCTTTGGAGTTTGTCTATACATCTTTTCGTGCTCCAAGGTTTTTGGGTGGATTTACATGGTGTAGACTTGGGGTTGTTCTTGGTGTAGACTTCTTGGTGTAGACTTGGGTTGTTCTTGTCCACTGAGCTTAAGGTTGGTGGTTCTCAACATAAACATCATAGGGAGAGAGGTTAGATCTACTGGATCTACTGGCCCACAGATTGGTGGTGCAATTCCAGCTCCTACTGATGAATAGTGTCATTGTGTACTTGGGCAAGACACTTAACCCTGTGGGTGAGTGGTTCCTTGTTGTAAAGCGCTTTGAGTGCCTTGAAGGTGGAAAACCACTATATAAAACTGTGACCATGACCATTAGCTCCTGCCGACCAGTTAAGACAATGTAGACGCGCAGAGATGCATACTCATGAATAATTGTCAATCATAAGCATGAAATGTATGAGGAATTAAAATATAAAGTAGTAGTCCCATTTTATTTCCCAATGTAACGTATGATCTACAGGTCTTCAAATTTTCACTTAACCAATAATCTCCTAATATATGTTAAATGTAGCGGGTTGGATAATGCATGCATTTATTGCAGTTAAGCATATTTAGACTAGGGATGGGCATTTGATGAAATTTTCTTAATCGATCGTCGGAAGAATTAATGATCGATTATCGATTAATCATTAACGTGTTTATATCAAAATGATCATCATTATTATTTCTATCTGCACTACTAATCTGCATAAATAAATTCAGCTTTACGACATATAAACAGTAACCACTCTAGAGCCACATCAATCTGTTTGACATTATAATGTGTTTAATTCAGTTTTGCGCAACATTCACAGAAACGAAACTTAAAACCGCATCGCTAATTTGCATAAACTAAGCGAAGATAAAAACTACAGCTCTTGTGCGCTGATGTGGTCAATTTCTGTTGGATTAAAAGACATGACTCGGTGGAATATAGGTTAGTGTGACCATATTTGCGTTTGTCAAAACCAGGACACCGTACGGGGAGTGGGAGGTGGGGACTCGTCATCGACATTGCGCTACTCTCACCTGGCAAAACTTTTTCCCCAATGGACACCGAAACATATGAGCTGCTTTATACACTGTGCACATGGCCTCCCACTTGTCCCGAACGCAACGGAAAGCGTGGAATTTCTTGTACAAATCATCGTTAAATATGCATTTGTACTTCGGTACGTTGCAGACTGACCGACTGTTTGTGTTTGCTCGCTCCTTCTGAGTGCAGAGAGCTACATGTCCGGACCCCTGTTTAGTCACGCTACGCACAGCAACCTACATTCGGTTTGTCGATTAAAATGAACGTAATAGATGAAATTCTTAATGATCAATTATCGATTAATCGACTAATCATGCCCATCCCTAATTTAGACTATACTTTACTATGACACTGCTAGTTTATAGATATGCTATATGACTTTACTTGGAATGTTCAGTCCTCCCAATTCCATGCAGATTGAAAACATCACAGGGCTAAAGTATCCATGTCATATACAGTTCGGCCTGTCACGATAACAAATTGTGAAGAACAAATACTGCAAAATAACAAAAACTTTCCCAGTAATACAAAGCAAAAATACTTACGATAATTACTGACCCCCCAGAATATACTGTTCCATCCAACATATATTGAACGGGAAGTTGATTATTGTAATTATCATGACAGGTTTAACATATATACAGTGGTGGTTCTGCATGTACAAAATGTGTTATTGTGGCGGGCCTCAACATTTGCAGCTTGTTTGGTAAGATTAAACAAAGTGTGTATTTGACTGAACTAAACAATGGGCCTTTTGAAATACGCCTTTGACCTTGTGTTACGTAACATGCTGCAATTGTAAGCGATGCTCCGTTTGACGTGCGCGGGCTGCTTACCATGTTCTCCACGGGTCCCCTTGAGGCCTCCTGTGTTTGGATCCCTGTCCCCGCTCTCATGGTTAATTCATGCTTCATCCATCATTGATGCCGCTCCACGCCACGATCAGGTTTAGCCGACTGGCACACATGTGGACCTACAGTTGTTCTCTGCACTGGCCAAACAGAAGAGATGTGTGTAAATATGGAGAAATATAAGAGAGATGCTTGACGTGATTAGACCTATCACGATAATTACTACATCAACATATTGTTTAGTATATGAGATGAAACTATATTTTTCGGGTTAGTATTTATTTATTATGTGTACAGTTTCTTTGCACTAATGGTAATTTTTGGGTTATTTTTTGGCAATATAATACAATTTGAGCCATAGAAGGTTGAAAAAGTAACTTGACTATAACTTATTACAGATGCAAATTAAGTACTAAAGTGGCTCATTCTGCGATTTATTTATTGCTCAGGAAATGAACCTTGATTTTTTATTTATTTTTAAGTCCAATAAAACAAATTAAAACTGGAAATTGAGACTGACCAATGAGGGAAAGAACTGCTTTGTCATATTACTCAACTGTAGTTTGTCATTACTAGGAATGTAACCATATCCAAAACTTTCAATATGTTATTCTCACGATGCTTTTCATGGTACGAAATTTACTGGGAT